AGGAGGAGGAGGAGGAAGAGGAGGAGGACGACGAGGAGGACGACGAGGAGAACGAGGAGGACGACGACGAGGAGAACGAGGAGGAGGACGGGGAGGAGAACGAGGAGGACGACAAGGAGAACGAGGACGACGACGACGACGACGACGAGGACGAGGAGGGAGAGGGCGGCCGGAGGCAGCTTCTGTGCCCCCCGGGGCCCTTCGGAGCCGCTGCGTGCAGCTCGGCCGACCGGCGCGGCGACGCCATCAAACCGCCAGGCCGCTGGACTTCGTCGTCGTCGTCGTCGTCGTCCGTCGTCCGTCGTCCGTCGTCCGTCGTCCGTCGTCCATGGTCCGTCGTCCGTCGTCCGTCGTCCGTCGTCGTCGTCGTCGTCGTCGTCGTCGTCCGTCGTCCGTCGTCCGTCGTCCGTCGTCCGTCGTCCGTCGTCCGTCGTCCGTCGTCCGTCGCCCGTCGTCGTCGTCGTCGACGTCGTCGTCGTCGTCCGTCGTCCGTCGATGTTGTCGTCGTCGTCGAGGAGTGAGACGAAGAGGACCGAGAGAAGAAAGAGGAAGAGCAGGACGTTAGGCATGTACCCAGACCGCTTTCGCCAGTGCGCAGCGTACAGCGAAGGGTTAAAAGCGAAACGAATTCAACTGTTTAAAATCTGCGTTTAAACAGTCGATCCTCTCAGTGAGGCCGTCCTTTGCGGATCCGACTGAATATACAGGTTAAATTAGCCATGCAAACAACTGCTCAATGTTTATCCCAGCTGATCCTCTCAGTGAGGCCGGACTTTGCGCCTCCAGCTGGTTTAAACACAAAAGTTGAACAGATGTTTAGCTGCACGCTGCCAAGCTGCTGGGAGGATGTGGAGAGGAGAGAAAAGAGGTTACCTCGCATGCGACATCACCTACCGTTTAGCGCCTGGCCCGCGAGCGCGAACATCTTGTCTACCTGTTTAGCGGCGGTCGCGGGCGCGTGAGCGCACTTCCAAGGCTTTCGCAGATCCGCCGACCCCTCGTGGGTCTCTGGGCGCGTGAGATTCCCCTCCAAAAATTCTTTCTCCCCCACCCCCCAGGGGCCCCAAAACTGGGAATTTGACCCCCCCCCCAGGCCTGGGGGGATCAAGGGTCCCCCGACGACCCAAGAGGACCCAAGACGCACCCAAGACGGTTCAAGAAGGCCCCGAGTCTCTGAAAGATCGCTCCAAGACGCCCAAAATAGCCCCAAGACGGCTGAAGAGCCCTCCAAGAGCACTTCCAAAAGGCCAAATCATAAATGTTCTGAAAAAATCTTTGGAGGATTTTGGTATTCTCGCCTTTTCGGCCTTTCGCCGCTCCATGACGTCCCTAGAAGCCTCCAAGACCACTCCAAGACGGCCCAAGAAGCCTCCAAGAGGGCCCCAAGACGGCCCCCCAGGGCGCCCAAGACGGCCCAAGAGGCGCCCAAGACGGCCCACGAGGGCCCCCAGACAGCCTCAAGAGGGGCCCAAGAAGGGGAACGCGAACCGAAAATCCGAGCCCCCGGCCCCAAGAAGCCCCGAGGAGGCCCCCAAGAGGCCCCCCAAGAGGCCTCAAGAGGCTCCCCAGATGCCTAAACGAGGCCCCAAAACGATCCCCAGAGGCCTCAAAACTGCCTCTAGGACGCTCCCGAGAGGCTTCCCACGAGACCCCAACGAACATCCAAGAGGCCTATGACCCACAACCCAGGCACGGCGGCGGGATGGGCCGAAGGCCACTACGTAGATATAGGGGTCGGCGGATGTGGCGCAAGCCTGTAGAATCATAACTGTCACTGTAACGGCGCGGGCTGGAAAGCTGCAGTCCTACAAAAAAGCACTCGGACAGAGGAGACACAATGGCCAACCCAGAGGCAAAACGCGCATAGAGTATGTGAGCCACTGGCAGAGTAGCAGCTCATGGCAGCAGCCTCGCAGTGCACCGCGCACCGCTAAGGTTGCACTTAGAAGAAAGGACGGGGCTGAGAGAAGACATGGAACAGGAGGAACCCAGAAGCCTCCATGTAGGCTCGACTGCCCGAGGCGCGAGCCTGGCACTGCAGTCGCTCCCGATGGAGCACAGGCCCAAGAAGACACGAATGCAAAGCTAGGTAACTATGGCTGCGGTGGCAGCCTGGCGCTCGATAGAGCAGCAGCTAAATCCATAGTGCTCCGGAAGCCTCGGAAAAATGGGACGCTGCACAAAGCGAAATCACTTGTCACTGCAGGCGCAACAAAGATCCGAGCACAGAGCAAGCTTCTCAAACGCAGAGGCGAAAACTGAATTACCATGCTGCGAATGAGTGGTGCTGCAGCATTTGCAGCCACCGTGCGGAGGAAGGGGGATGTTAGAACTTGGAGGGGTACAGGAGAGAGGAGGAAGGAGCATACGAAGCAACAGGAGGCAGCAGTGGGGGGCCAGAAGAGGAGAAGAGGCCGGCCGACGCTGGGGAGCAGCTGGCGCTCCAGGCCAGATCGCGTGTGCCGCCGAACCCCCCTCTGTCAGCGCGCCGCCGGCCTTTCGGGGGCACAGGTGTGGACCCCGAAAGTGACCCTTCAAGGACCCTTTGGGGGAGGGCGGTCTCTCGGGGGCTTTGTGAGGCTCACTCGGGGCTCCTCGTGGGCCTGAGTTGTTTCGTGCTGCCTCTCTTGGGGGCCTCTTGGGGGCGTCGCGGAGGCCTCTTGGAAGCCTCTCAGGCCTCTTGGGGGCCTCTTGGGGCTTCCTGGGGTTTCCTGGGGGCCTCGCGGGGCCCGGGTGGCCAGGGCTCGACGTGTCAGCTCGGGCCCCACGGCTGGACACCCTCTGGGGTTGTCTTGGAGGCGTCTTGGGCCGCCTTAGGGCCCTCGGGGCCTCTCGGGGCTCTCTTGGGGGCCTGCTGGGCAGTCTGGGGGCTTTCTTGGAGGCGTCTCGGGCCGCCCTGGAGCGTTGGGAAACCAAGCAAGCGAGAAAACCATACATGCATATGTGTATACATATATGTGTGAATAATACACAAACAAACACACACACAAACACACGCACACACGCACACACACACACACACACACGCACACACGCACACACACACGCACACACGCACACACGCACACACGCACACACGCACACACGCACACACGCACACGCGCACACGCGCACACACGCACAACACGCACACACGCACACGC